TTTTTTTTTTTTTTTTTTCTCGAAACGGTAGGGATCTCAAAACACAAATATTCAGTGAACAGATTTTGTCTTGAGAAAATTATGTCCTCCACTTTACTATTTCATTTTATTTGCAAAAATACATCTAATATATAAATATTTGTAAAATTGCTGAAAGTGTTATTTTTATTTTCAAATATGCTAGAAACTTGAATTTGGGTTGGTTAGCTAAGGGCGGATATCATGGAACATTACTCAACAATTTTTCATAACTGATCACATATGACATATCTTAATTACAATTTACAAAATTTATTTCCTATTAGTGGAGAATTTATTCTTCTTCTCATCTCTCCTCTTTCTTCTTCTTCTTCTTTGACAGTCCTCTCAACCCTTGTAAATGAATTTTTTTTTTTAATTCCCATAACAAATATTTTTTTTTTTTTATCGGTAGCAAATAATTTGATTGTTAGGAAGGCATCACCGGATGCGGTTGCTTCTTTTTTGATCCATGCGATTGTGTTTTTGAAGAGGCCGCCCCATCCCTCGTGCCGCCCTCATCGTTCACGCCACTGCCACCTCCTCCGATCCCCCTTCCACAGCCACATCCGCCGCCGCCTCGCTCAAGCACCACCACCCCACGGACGAGAACATCCGCGAAGAGGCCCGCCGCCATGCCTCGTCCCACGACTTCTCCGTCAAGTACGTCCCCTTCAACGAGGGAGAAGAGGAATATCTTCCGGAGGATGATTTCCTCAATTATCGCCGGCGTCCTCTAAAGAAGGTTTCGGCGTCGCCATGATCGGAGGGAGATGATTGGTTGGTTGCAGGAAATTGAATTTTGTTTCAACATTTTAGGATATTGGACTGTGTGTAGATCATTTAGTACGTTGAAATTCGCAGAATTTGGATTGGAGTATAGTTCATTATATCTAGAGTATATGCACAGTATATGTTCACGACAACATATGTTGCGTGTATAGACATGCAATATATGTTCACATCAGCATATGTTGCAGGCAGGGTGTATATGTGGTGTGTATAGGGAGTATATGTTCATTATATTAGAAAATTTTTTTGTAAACTGTTCAGTTTATGTTGTGTGTATATGGAGTATATGTTCAGTATATTAGAAAATTTGTTTGTATAGAGAATATAACTAACCTGTTATAATATGTTTACAAACTCTATATATACTTTTATGTATAAAATTAAAAAAAAAAGGCATATTTTTTTATGGAATACATATTTTTCATTGCAATATATACTGCATATATACCCAACTGGACAACTGCGTGAATTACAATACATGTTTTTATCTCTTTCTATTTTCCTGTTAAAATCGCGGAAATCACTCCCAAGATATGGAATGGATGATGTTTACAATGGATAACTGATTTTTAGGCATTTTTCCTGTTAAAATCGCGGAAATCACTCCCAAGATATGGAATGGATGATGTTTACAATGGATAACTGAATTTTAGGCATTGACGTAATTGTTTTTGGTCTATTAGGTATATATCAAATTATTTGTTATTCAATGGTAAATTCAAAATTTCTTTAATTTCGTGTAGTATGTACAAAAATTTCCCGTTTATCTTCCCAGTTCCAAAAATTTGAACGTGCAAAATAAGGTTATGGGCCAAGATAATAAAATCCAGATGGGCCAAACATTTAACTTAAAAAAAATACGGGCCAAGGAATAACAAACGAAAGCTAGGCCAAGAATTAAATTCTCACGGGCCAAAATAAATAGCTCAAAGGGCCGAGAATTTTCAATAAATTGGGCCGAGTATCAACTCAAGGCTCGATCAGAGAAAGACTCGAACGAATACAACGCAATCCAACAAGAATTCTTGAATGATTAAACGATTGGCGACGAACAAATAATAAAATTATACGACTTATTAGACTAATTAGACGAGGACATCTAACTAATCATAATAAATTTAATCGAGATACGTGTCGAGCAATTCACCAAGATAACACAAAGCAATAATAAAATACGATAAATCATATAAATTGAATGGGGCATTACAATTCATATGCAGTTAAATTGTTATGTACTATTTATTTTCATCAATGATCGAATTGAAAAGCATAGCACCTTTATCTAACTTATAATTTTAATATTATATACATAATATATAACTTATAATACTCTATGTTTAAAATATAGTACTATTATAACTTATAATTTTAAGTAAAAGGAAAAGGATTAGGTGTGGGGTGGATTTTTCTATCACTCATTTACCTGGACTCAAATCCAAATTTGCGGATGACATTTGCTCATTAAATATAGATTTTGTGCTTTACCTTCTAATAAATTTAGCCCATGAGCAAACAAGGGCAATTATACTTGTTTATGGTGAATTAAAGTTTGAACAAATTAGGCATGGATAAAGAATATTGACTTCTATCTATTATTTACCACATATCAATGAGGATGCTTTCGTGAACCTTAGAGCATTTCCGCTACATGAATGTTAGCATTGAAAATTTTAGGTCAACATTGAACTATAATTTCGAGTTCACAGACTAAATTATAATTTTCTACTACAATCTCCAATGCATTATATATTCCTTCACATCATGGGCGGAGTCACCATTGGGCTAGGGTGGGTTCTAGCCCCATGTATTTTTTTTTATTTTTTTTAGTTTGGAATTTCTTATTTTATTTGTAGTCCCACGTAAATATTAGTTTAGCGTCCAATTTAGCTCATATGTTCTTAGGAAGAAACCAAATAATTTGTTAATTTTCAGTTCTCAAAAGTAGAAGAGGTTTGAGCTTTTTTTATTAAAAAAAAAAGGACACAAATTAATGCTTATTCTAATTTTATTTTACAAATTTGTAAGAAGAATGTTGATTAATGTTTGTTTTAATAGTGACGTGAAGAGATTTCTTGTGTTATGTAATGATCAAGAGCTAATAGGAATTGATTTGTGATGAAAAATTTAGAAATATACTCAATTTGAAATTATGCACACAACTAGTTCGATGAAAGCACAACTAAACATTTGAGATAATAAAATTTAAATTTGTATAGGTTAAGAATTGCATATTTGGAAATGATGTAAGTCTCTATATACTTTTCTTTACAGTTTAACACNTGGTTAAATCATATTGAATCATTTTATTTGAATAATATTGGTTATTTATGTAATTTATATTACATTATATATACATATGAATATATCAGTTACTTCATATTTTAGTTTTACTTATTTTGTTTTTTATAGAACTCCAATAGAATATTTATTTTGTGATTGAACTTATGGATTTTAATAATTTACTTTTGACATTCATTGGATTTTTAAAATATACTTTCATTCATTTAATTTTGTGATTCATGTAAGTTGTATTGAATATTAAAAAAATTTACTTTCATACATTAGTGTTTTTATGCTTTGCATCTAGCTAAAGATGTTATCCGAGTCGAGCTAAGTCGGATATCTCATGTTCGAACTTGTGACTAGAAATTCGAGCTTTCACGATTCGAAATGAGTTGTGTTCGTGAATAGTTTTATTCGAGTAATAGCTCAATGTTAAGCAGCCTCGGGTAAAAAAAAATCCTGGCTACGCCCCTTCTTCACATAATGTGTATGTGTATATCAATTTTTAAAATAAACAAAATAAAATGATTAAGTAGAAGATTAATTAATTTCATTGGATAAAACAATCAAGACTTTAACTTTGAGATTATATATATAACAAAACTAAATAAATAAAAAAGTTGGATTTACTCACACTGCTTGGAGTAATATAAATTACAAACGTGAATTTGGAGTCGAGAAGGATTAATAAAGATGGACACTTGTAAATTCTGTTTGCAGTTTGATTAATGCAAAAAATGGGGATTATTAATGGAGACTAGTATTCCAACTTATATTTACCACAATTTAATCAGGACTAACAATAAATGCTCCCTTAGTGTAGTCAATGTTATGTTGCAGATGTGAAAGACATATATGTTTATCATGGTCAGCAAACATCAACTATAGCCTAAGAAATATAATATCAATGATCCGAAATAGTAAGCAGACATATTAAATGTCAGCATTAGCAGGATGGGCAAAGCTGATAATTTTTATTTTATTTTTATTGTAAAATTAAATCATCTATTAACACTAATTAAAAATTAATAAAATTATTCAATTAAAAAGAGTTATATTTAAATTTATTACATATGATTTAAAAAAAAAAATATTATAAATATATGACACTCATTTTAAGTGTGATGATGGTTCCAAATGTGAAATAAGGAGGTTTCCCATATATACTAGTAGTAGTTAAGTGAAAAATGCTGACTAGACTTGAGTGTCAAATATGTTTTTGATTGATAGTCAACAAAAATCAACACGAGGAGAGGCAAAGAAATAATAATCTGGACTGGTGTCAGCAATAGCATGCAGGGGTCAAAGAAAATGAACTGGAAAAGTCAAGAGTAAGGAAATGTAAAGGAAACCACAATTAATTAACAAAGAGAGGCACAGGCAAGCAAAGAGTACGTATATATATATATATAGACTACAATGAAGGGATCGGAAAATCTAAAAAGAAGTTGTATAAATAATAATAATAATAAGAATAATAATAACATATATATCCACTTCAACAACATGCAAACAATTGAGCGGGAAAATTCAATCCGTGCACTCCCACTCCCAACTGATGTTAATGACTCTGATAATTTCGATAATATTATCATATCAATCCCTCAGCAGCAGCAGCAGCAGCAGCAGCCGCCACTACCCTTGGAAGACATTTCCCCAATAAACAGCTTTGCCAGCTTCTTTTCCGAGTTCAAGAATGAGTCGAGCAAGCTTTGGCGTCTGGCTGCCCCTGCAATCCTCACCACCGTTTTCCAATACTCTCTTGGAGCCATCACTCAGACCTTTGCTGGCCACGTTGGACAACTTGACCTAGCGGCATTCTCCATCGAAAATTCCGTCATAGGTGGCTTAAGCTACGGCATCATGGTACGTACGTAATAAAAATAATAGGGTGAATAATTTTTTCCATCCAGTACTATACGTGCTTTTGAGATTTTTCAACTTAAAGTATTTTTTGTTGTAAATTGCAACCTGAACTACATATACAGTCACTCTCGACCACATCTTGACCATACACGTGTCCTTTTTTGTCTATGATCGGACGGTCAAAAAGTAGTCGAACGTGCAAATAATTGTATATATGTAGTTCAAGTCGCATTTTACAACAAAAAATAATTTAGGTTGAAAATCTCAAAAGCACGTATAATACAGGTTGGAAAAAATTATTTACCCTTCTCACACACTAGTAAGAATCCCGTGCTATGCACGGGTAAGAGATATTCATTAATATTTATAATTTAAAAATTCTTATTAATTAATATTTATAAATTAAAAACATAGGATTATGTAATCAATGTACCTATATTAATTTATTAAAAATATTATATAAAATTTAAATTGTGCAAAATTACATAAAAATATTTATTTAAAATTAGTACACAACTCGTGCGTTGCACATAACTGATAATAAATTACATTATATTCGTTTCAAAATTTTTATTCAGAAATTCAATTTTAGTATAACGTGATTCCATAAAATAATTATTTTGGTAAAATTTTATCATATATTTAAAATCCTATGTGAATAATAAATATAAATATAAAACTTATAGTGTAATTAAAATTAATTTATTTTTGTATAATTCTTGTGTTTGTATGATATCCCCAGTTTGGAAGTGTGGTATTTTACGGCCCTAATCCTTTTTGCTGGATACTTGAAGAATGCTGAGGTGGCCGTTGATTCTCTCTCAATCTGGTAACATATATTCCTTTCTATATATTCTTTTTAAATGCTTTATTAATCGTTTTGGATATTTTATTCGTATTTCTCTATTTTTATTCTTATTTAATTAATACATTACACATTTTTGGGAGGAAAATTGTGGAAAACGATGTGTTTTCTCTCTTCATACAACATAAAAAAGCAGAAAAGAAATAAATTAATTAATGTTAATTTACTTTAAATAAAGTTAATATTGGCAAGAAAATATTTCTTAATTTATGTGGACAGTTAAAAAGAATACCTCCAGGAGGTAGTATAAACTTGCATGTCTACCTAAAATCTTTATTATCATGATTCCCAAATCTTTTGGGCCAATAAATGTAATTATTAACTTTTTTTTTTTCATTTAAATTTTTTGCAGTGTAAATATATTGGGGTGGACTGGAATGGTTGCGCTTGGATTCAATGCTGCAGTGAGGTTAGTCAATCTAGCCTACCTTTTTGTTGTACACCTCATATACAATTACATATATATACTGTAGATTTACAATTTCTCATTATCAACTCTATTTTTTTGACATAAAATATGAATTTGATGTGCGCGTGTGCAGTGTAAGAGTGTCGAACGAATTAGGAGCAGATCGTCCGAGAACCGCCAAATTTGCAGTGTTTGTAGTCGTGATATCATCATTTGTTATCGCTCTTCTTATTTCGGTGTTTTTCTTGGCGTTTCAAAAACAATATCCAACCTTATTCTCCAACACTTTGGATGTCCGAAATCTCGTGTATCATCTCACACCGATGCTAGCCTTCTGCATTGTTCTTAACAACGTTCAACCTGCTCTATCAGGTATCTAATCAATGTTATTATTGGGAATGACTACAGTCCTGTTACAGAATTATTTCTGGTTATTATTAGTTATTATTCAACTTTTTATATTTAAGAGCAAAATAACATTGTTGGAAAACCTTATATTGGTGCAGGTGTAGCTATTGGAGCAGGATGGCAAGCCATAGTCGCATATGTCAATATCGGAAGCTACTATTTGTTTGGCATTCCATTGGGTCTAACTCTTGGTTACGCTGTCAAATGGGGTGTACGAGTAAGTATATATACTAATACAACAACATCACAAATAAATATTTTATGTATATTGATCTTTAATTATTGTATGCCATTTCACTATGAAATTATGTAAATCTATAAGAAAATTGCACACAAAATTTTTATACAAACATATTTCACCATGTTATGCACAAATATATGTACAAGCATTTCAAATTTTAATTTCCTATTAAAAACTAACAAAGAGATGTTTTGTTACCTTTTTTATTTTTTTTCGCAGGGAATATGGTATGGGATGGCAGGTGGGACGGCTATTCAAACCCTCATCCTTTTGTGGTTGATCTACAGAACTAACTGGAAAAAAGAGGTATATATTATTTTATCTAATTCCATCTAATTTGTTTTACCATGAGAATTATTTAAATAATTATATATATATATATATATAATTATTTAGTTATCGATTTGATTGGTTAATCGTTGTTTTAATAAATTTATTCGATCCATAATAATTTTTCTTCTTTCGGATATGCAATTCAGGCTTCTGCTGCAGCCGAAAGGATTAATACGTGGGGAGGAGAATCAGCTGTTAGAGAAAATAACATAGAGAATTAGCCATTGAGGAGGAGGATTAATTTCTCAAGTTTTTCCTTTTATTCATTTTTTATTTCTTAATTCATATGTAAAAAAGTTTCGATTAATGACAAAAGTCAGGTCGGGACATCGATTGTCTAGTTATTCTCAGATAACTTAGACAAGTAGTCATTGAGGAAAAGGATTCCTCAAGTTCTTCAATTTATTCATTTGTTTATCTCTTTGTTCATATGTGTAAAAGTTTCTATCAATGACCAAATTGTTATTCGTTGCCTCTTGTCCAATTGATTTTTGTTGACCATCAATAAAAAATATATATTGACCACAATAAGTTCAAAAATGTTTAAAACAAACATTTTCCTTTTTCAATTCAAGATAAGAAATTGAAAATAATATATTTTAAATTTTTTATGAACAACAAATTTATATTGCAGTATAGTTGATTCGACAATATAAATTGTTGAATTTATAAATTATGAATATATAACTAGAATTCCACATACATTAGTTAAAAAAGATACTAGACACTATGTAGATTTGAAGTTTATAATATTTCCTTTAATTGTGATATCGCGTTTATGCTATAATTTTAATAAAGTTTTGAATTGAATTAAATTACAATTCGTTGAGTTGTACATTAACAAATTATGTATATTTATTTTTGAATTTTATTTTTTAAATAGAAGGCATGATTAAAATTATTTATGTTTCAATATTTTTTTTAGATACCTTATGCTATATGTTGTGTAATGAAGGTATGTGTCGGGCCTACTAAACAAACATGGATCTTCCCATCATTTCAATCAAATTTTTTTTGTTAGAATTTTCATTGAAAAATTCAAACGGGAGTGACATTGAAATATTTGTTAGCATTGTCATTGAAGTTCCGTTGTAATATATTTTTGTTAAAATTTTGGTTGTAATTTCATCATTTTCTTATAGTAAAAGTAGGGGTTCAAATTAATACAAATCCAATGATTATTTGGATTTTAAAAATTTGTTGGTGCTTCTTCAGATATTAATTCAGGAAAATCCAATGATTATTTGGATTACCATGCTCGTGAATTTGGGTATGTTGATGATGCAGATTGAACATATCGAGGCTTTAAGTTTAAGAGGTTTGTCAATTCGGTAATGCCTGTGAATTTGACATCACTACATATTGTATAATTGATTTATTGATTTCTTTGCGTGGTTGTGTGTGCATTTTGAGAGCAGGTCTCTAATGATTGATTGAACTCAAATGCCTGACATTTTTAATTTATGACATGCTTAATTAAATCCAAGACTGCAACGATAATGAATTTGTGATAATTGATTGACTAATTTAATACATTCATTTTCAAACTCTCCAATATATTCGTAATAAATCCTTTTTGGATAAATCTCGTGATTTTTAAAAGCCTTTCATCGTGGATGAGTTATAGGATGTTGTCGACAAGGTTATTAGTATTTTTTTTGGCTGAATTTGAGCTCTTTTGTGCAGTGTAGTTCGCTGAACCATATGAATCACTTTTTTATCAAGTCAGATTATTAAAAATAAATATAAATTCAATATTAAAAATAATATATTATGACATATATAACGTGTTAACTTAATCCAAAGCATAATAATTATTTTATTAAAAAAATTTAACATTATATGTAACTAACTTTTTTTTTTTATTTTGAGTGTTCCATAATTGGTAGAAGAATCCACTCATATACTTCATATTACAAGAAGTCATGCGTTACACTGGTGGCATTTTTTTTTTTACTCATTCAATAAATATATAAAACATAAATAAAAGTACACATTTCATAATGTAAGTATAAATTTTTTAATGAAATAATTCATGATTGTTGTAAAACAATAATTGAGAGTTAAAATATGTTGATGAATAAATAGTAACAAATGGTACTCATTGCCTTTTAATTTAAAAATTAAAAAAAAAAATAATGGAGAGATGAGTTATAAATGAACAGTGTATATTTTAGTTTGGAAATAATCTAATTTCTTCTCTGTTTTCATTATTCAAGTTTCTTGGTACTGTTCTGAAAATATTTCGTACAGGGAATTTATTTGTATGAACTTTTGTTATTTCATGATTTTAATATAATGGGGTTTCGAAGGATTTTGATCATGCTCTCTTATTCTTGGCAAATTTACACATCCACCTACTTTTTGGTACAAATAATATCCATGCACACTCTTTGCTTGAGCCTGTGCCTGTTTTTCCTTTTCATTTCCTCTCTCGGACTTTTCTAGTTCATTTTGTTTGACCCAAATCAATATATTGCTGACAACCAATTACCAATATATTATTTCATTGCCTCGAGTTGATTTTTGTTGACCATGAATACTCACTAAATTATTTAAGTACTCACTAAACTATATAGTATTATATAAGTTGAATTCCACACAATACTTACAAGAGTAACTTTATCCTTCTCGACTCCAAATTAACGGTGGTCTTACTCCAAACTAGTATGAGCAAGTCCAACTTTATTATTCAAAAAATAGACTTTTTATTCAAATACTTTTTAAAGTATTGCATCATTATCATTATTTATAATTAAAATGAGACTTTTCAATTGTATGAAGATCCCATTATATGTTGTAATAGTTTCTCTAAATCATATGTAATGAACTTGTAGATAACATTTATAATTGATAATATAATTTTATTAATTTTGTAATTAATATTAATATATGATTTAATTTTACAATTAAAAAAAAATAAAAAAATTATCAGCTCCCTGCTAATGCTGATATTTGAATATGCCTGCTTGCTCTTTCACACATTTGGAACATAACATTGAACACACTACATAAGATTAACTCTAAATTTGCTCTCATAAGATTGACTGTAATGTAAAATCGATCACACTATTAGTTGATCCATTAACAATCTTGCAGGCACGAGATCATATTTGCAACACGAGACTAATCGTCCGCTGACAGAAATATGTAGGGACAACTTTTGCATACTTTGAACATAAATTGCAATTCTACTAATTTTATTGTACCAAATTTGCAAATTCCTGCCATATTTGTTGTTTACAGCTACATTACTCTCTCCTAAATTTGCAGACATGAACACAATCATCCCCTGCCAAAGGCCTAAATGGCCACACTCACAGGAAAACTAAAACTAAGAGCAACAAACAAAAACACAAGGATCCAACAAAAGAGAAAGATCTCTAATATCCTTTACTACAACACAATCCTCCAGATGAGTTCTTCTATTGAGGCAGGCTGCCATCTCTGAACTTGCAACTTTACACACCATTCCTTCGCAGATTCTTCTAATAACCACCTGATTTGCCTCACCTCTCAGTCCTGCTGATTAACCTCTACGACATAAACTACAAATGCATTCATGCCATGTACAAGTATGAAAGATAACATAAGCAATAAAGAATTTTTCAAGAATTTATCCATTACAAATACTAAATATTAGTAGGCCGAAATTCCCAATGACGTGATGCCATTATTACCAAATTCTTTTACTAGCATTGTATATATAAACTGACAATAACTATTACATGAAACATAATGCACAAAATGCTCTGGCCATAGACTAGTTCTTAACGAAGATGCTTCGACGATTGCACTTTTTAGCATTGTGTATAATGCTTCATAAAATGCACATTAGCAATTATGCATGCAGGTTATGCTTCCATGAACTGCAGCGATACAGATTTCGCTTGAAAGAATGAAATGTAAGCTCATATTATGGCTTGTAGTTTACCTTAAGTAGGGACAAGGATCCTCCCTCGCGTGGAATCCAAGTACGGGCTTGTAAATGCCAATGGCAGCCAAAATTCTTGCTTCAGCTTTTCAAACTTCCTCATTAGCCCAAGCTTCAAAAAGTTTATAGCTGTGGGAATAATTCTAGAATTTTCCAGAAAAAAGCTTCGCCTGTATTCTAGAATCCACGTGTTGGGATCAAGCTGCACGATGGAAGAACTCCATTTTTCTCGCGTCCATGAACTATTTGTACAAACGAAATAGGTTTCCGAATTGTTCCACTGTGATAATTTAATGCATAAATGAACAAAATTGACATAATTACTAAAATGAGTCAGTTATTCATTGACAATACCTCAGTAACTCTTCCCGATAAAATACTGAACGAGCGGTCAGAATGTTGTGCAGTGAGCAATCCAGCTGTCTGCAATGGCCATCCCCATATGCTTACCTCCTCTGATAACGATTTGTACATAACACAACGAGACTCAAGCAATAAACCATCCTAAAATCAAAAAGATTAAAAGAACATTAGATAAATGATCTAATCCAACCACTTTTGAAGCTAATGATCCCTTTATCCCTTATTAAGCTTGTAATTGTTCCTTTACTTGAGAAGGCATGAGATTCAGCTCTTGTGAGAGAACAGTACAACTGATTGCAAGTATGCAATAAAATGTAACATAATTTTTTCTTTGACTACTTTAGATAAAAAAAAAAACTCATATTTTTCCCATATCAATAGGACAATTTTCCAAAAATCATTCCTGGATTTCTCATTTGGAAACCATAGTATCAAAAACTTAAATCAAGAAAACACCAGCTAAGAACAGGTACCATATTCTCGTCCTTTAGACATCTTCTAATCCAACATGATTGTCAAAAGATGTAAGCAAATGCATTATGCAAGAGGTGCCAAAGTCAAGTTCATACACCATTGCAACTCAAATACAGTCACACATACAAACACAGGCAATCAAATAGCAACTGTAGGAAACTAATAAACTGCATTGACACCAAATTTTCACATAAAACAGACTAAATGTGCCAAGCCCATCTGATATTCACCATAGCTCACAGACATAAAAAGAAAATTGAAAATGAAATCTCAAAATACAATTTCAGCCACACACACATATATGTTCATATTCAGAGAAATGTCTCGAACAAAATAAAAGAGCTTTTAAGGTCTACAAAACACACACCTGACTGATTTTCCACACAGAATCAACAGAGCTACAGCTCGAAACCTTTTCCTCCAAATACCCTTCCAACTCATTCTTCAAGAACGCAAACCTCCCATTAATCCCCTCAACATCTCTCGAAATCTTACCCAAAGCCATCACCAAATCCGGAGACAACCGGGCCCTCAAAGCCCTAGAAACCATCAAAGAAAACCCGAAATCCACACCGCTCACGATAATCAAGGCCAGAACAAGCCTCAACACGAAAACCGCATACCCCATTTTCCTCTTCTCCTTCCTCCCCACCTTCTCCCCCAAACCCATGCTCTCGGTCGACATTGAAGGTGGGCTTGAGTCATCGGGCCTAATCCGGCCCGACTCAGGCGTCGAGGGTTCCATCGACGGCGAGGGGTAGGATACAGGGCTTCTCCGGACAGCGGGCCTCGAGACGGAGAGTTTAGTGAGCGAGCTCCTGTGGATGCTCTGAGGCATGAGATCGAGAGTAGCGTTCATGCTGGCGATGCAGATCTCGCACTTGCAGTGGGCGTCTTTCTTGCACCCGGGGAAGTAGAAGGAGGTGTCGCGTGTTTCAGACAAGCCGGGCTCCATCGTCGTGGAGGATTTCACGGAGGAATTCGGGTTTGAGTATGGAGCCGCCGGAGATTGCAATGTCATACTGAACCGTTCTTCCTAGGAGAGAGAGAGTGGAGAAGAGGGACAGTGGAATTTGAAAATTTTGAAACACACAACAAACATGTACGTGTATTGTAATTTGGGGTGTTCAAATTTCGACTAAAATCGACCGAAACGACCAATTCGGTTCGGTTTTTGATCGACTCGGTCGGTAGTCGGTTTCAATTTGTAAATTTTCGGTTTTTACGGTCGGTATCGGTTTCGGACATGAAATGTCCAAAAAAACCGAACCGACCGAATAAAATATTATAATATAATATTTTAATACAATACATTAACATAATCCTAAATCCTATCTCCTTCGCATTCCAGAAATCTTTCCCCATATCCTCCGCCGCTGTCTCCAAATCCTCCGCCCCTACACCCCTAGCCGCTGCTCCTCCGCTCTCCATCTCCCTTGCCCAAATCGCCCGTCGGTCTCCCTTCCCCAAATCGCCCAATCAGTCTCCCTTCCCCAAATCCTCCGCCATCCCCAATCTACCGTCGTCGCTCCTCCTCCGCCGTAAATCGCCCAAATCATCTTCTCATAAAAAATCGTCCCCAGAAGCTGTGACTCCTTCTCGCCGGTCAAGGAACTCTTTGTCGCCGGTCGTCGAACCGTCAGCTGGGCACACGGTTGTTCACCGTCAAGGGCGAATTCGTCTCCCTTCCAAAATCNTTATGTTGACTGAATTGGTTAATCATGTATCTATGTTTGTGAGAATCATGTATGTAAGTGTATTTTCTGTATCGTCTTGTTGGGACTTGAGAATGCTTAGTTCTGAATCTTTTGAATTATTTTTTGTAAACATTCGGTTAACCGACCGAACCGACCGAATAATTCGGTTCGGTTAATTTTCGGTTTAAGGATACATTTCGGTCGGTTCGGTTTTTTACTTATAGCATTTCGGTTAATTCGGACCGAACCGACCGATGAACACCCCTAATTGTAATTGTAAATGGATCAATATGACGTATTTTATTTCAAACTAGGGCAGGTACGGGCAAGTTCGAACTTACCAATAGTTATTGCCAATGGTTTTGACAGTCGTTATCATACAGTTTTGCTATGGAGCAATCGGATGGCTCGGCTTATGGAGTCATCTATAGTTATTCACAAATGATGTATTGACACGTGTCTTGGAATAAATATACATTGGACATGCGTCGTTACATGTTATGATGAATGGCTCCATAAGGGAGTCATCTGATGGTTCCATAGAATTTCTGCGATACCATATATTCATATCTCTAAATTTATAAAACATTTTTCATAATTACGAACATAAAAAAAAATAATCTTACATGATTAATGTTATTAGTGTGGTATGTGAATATCAAATATAGCTTAAGAAATCAGAAGGAAAATGACGAAACGAACAAAGTCGAGGCACATAAGGTACGCTCTCCTTAAGACGAAATAGTCCCGTATATTATCCACGGTCCACAGCTAACGCCTCCAAGATACAACGACTTCGATTTGTGTATAGCGGTAACTCAAATACACAAACCTTCGACGAACAATACTCAAGTTTCGGAACTCTCAAGATAAGAAAGAACACAAAGAACACAAGATGAATATGAACTTTGTAAAAAGGATGCAAAGACTCTTGGAAAATTTCATGTACTAAATGATTTCATGTTTGTGGGCATTTATAGATGTAGGGAAACACCTCCAAGAGGTTTAAGTGTCGAAAGACACCTTTTGGGACGTGCCCGTACGAGAACGGATGCATCTAGCGGCCATAAGATACTTTATGGTCACCAAGGGTTGCAACCCTTTGATTTCCGCAGTTAGTTGCGCGTCCGTGCGCCACGGGCTCGTACGAGCTCATACGGACTCGGAATCGAGTTCCATTTTTTCCTACTTGTCCCCTACGAGCCCTTCTACAATACTAGCATATAGAATGCATAATTATGGCTCGTTTAGTTTGTCCAAACATTTGTCAAAACAGAATGTTTGTGAACCCTACAATCTTTGAGTTATTTAAACTCAATTAATTAACATATAACACTTAAAATTAATTTCTCATTCACCTTAAAAAGGTTTTGAGAATTTCCTAAGTCTTCTACTTACGAAAAATAGAATCGTTAAATCGGTACAAAACCAATTTTTCTTACAATTAATACATTTTTATTGTACCAACTACTTCTTCTTTAATTTATGTTTAGTTTATTTATAGTGTCTAATAGTTTATGTTATTAGATTTGAGACATGGTTAAACATAAATTTTGCTAATACGCCTATCATAAACTATTAATAAATATTGAAATCTTCAACAATGTAAATATATCAAATCATTTGAAAACATTTCTCTCAAAGACTAAGACATAATTAACAATATAAACTACAATAAAATCAAGAAAAAAAATCATTACACCATAATCAAACCATAATTAAATTGTTTTATGTTCTGATGGTTTATATTTGGATATTGTGTTCCACCACGGATGAGACATAAGATCACATATTGCTTACTTGTAAAACATAAATAATTAGTTCACATCGTAGATGGAAATGAAAACACCCATCGCGAACGCTTTTAGTGTTAACTGTACAGTCTGTCTTTCCTGATTGGTTGCACTAGTGCATTGTGTGAATTGATCGGATCCCAGAAAGAATAAATTTGTTTTGAATTGATCCCTAAACATACTAGACCTCGTTTAATTACAGCGTACTCTTAACCCGTAAAATGTAAACAGACACGTGCATACAACGGCTGCTACTTTGATTCTTTAAAAAGTGAGATCCATTCTACTAGATCAAGAGTATGACGTGTTTTGGGTTGTAATAGTGTGTTGTTCAATTATTTACCGTCACCGTGTGCGATGGTCTGATAATGTTCCTGAGAGGAGCTCAAGAAGTATTATTATGCTAAACCCTACCTACCTGTGGATTAAGTTTCCACATAATAATAAAGCACTGAGTGGTAATAGTCTCGGCACAAGATGTTAATTAATTATATTATCAGTAATTAATTAATTAACGGACATTATATTTTAAACAAAGGGAGGTAAATTGGGTAATTATTATCGAAGCCTCAAATTATAATTTGGTAGCCAAATGGGGAGATCAACTAAAGAAAATTATAATTTGGTAGCCAAATGGGGAGATCAACGGTTTTTCTTTAGTGAACTGAAGAACCGTTCAAATATGAGCATAGTGGGCTTGGTCCATATTCGGTAAGCTCATATTTGACACCTCCTTATATAAATACACTACACATTGTATGAAAACCACAAGTTGAGAGCTTTGTGAGTTAGCCACCAAGACAAACAAAGTGTGTAGAGGTAATACAATAGAGGTCCCAAGGTAACCCGACGCGATCCGCGATCGCTGCCCACCGAGACTCGCGACCCAACAACCATCCGCGACCACCGGGACCCGCGACCGGCGAGTCTGATGCCCGCGCCACCGCGAAGCCCGATGACCCGATCCGGCTCTGGCGATATTATTTATTTTGCTATGTGATTCGTTTATTTTTCTAAGTGATTATTTGAATAATTTTTTATGTATTCAATTTATATTTTGTAATTTAGTGCCTAACTTTTATTTTGTGCCTAAGTCTTGTATTTTTTTTTTAAGTGTTATTTTGTTTGCTTTATATATGTGTGTGTTCATCTTCCCAAGTTCCATTAAAGCTCAGCCCTTTAGCACTTGAACTCGGCCCAAACCCCTTCCTTTCGGCTTGAAAGCCCAAGAGGAGCCCATTTTTTTCTTTTCTTCGGCTCAAGAGATCCATTAAATAACGTCTTCATTTCTTTTTCTGGCTCAAGCAGAAGTATCGCCGTTCTCAACTCCCACATCCCTTCCCGTCGCGCAGCCGAGCCCTAGCTCAACGGCCTCCGTGATTTCCGGCCAACTCACCCACGTTTCTCCCCCAGCAAGTCCTAAAGGTCCCTCTATTAAGCATCTCCAAAAGGTCAGCCGCAGCTCCAATTTCACGGCAATCACGTCGTCCGATCTCGAGCAGCAAGCCGCGACCTTGAGCCCTAATTTCCGACGAGAAGACACACGGAGACCCTAAAACTCCGACGTCGAGCCGTGAATCCAACCGGACCAGCGGCGAGGCGATCCACCAGGTGCGAGAGCCACCAGTTTGACGGCGAGCCGAGCAGTGGCGATTGACGAGCGCCCAAGCACTGAGAGGAAACCCGGTTTCCCGAACAGTTCCAGGCGACCAAGAATTTTCTCCGACGAGAATATTTGAGCGCAACCGAGCTCATCAATTCCAGACGAGGAGAGCCGAGCTGATTTTCAGCGACAGGACGAGCCCTGTTTTCCGACGAGCGCCGCGACCGGAGAACCACCACTTTTTGGCTGAAGAAGAGCCACTTCCAGGCGACACCGGCGAGAACCCGCGCAGCATAGGGGAGAGAGAGGGACTTTGCCGCAGCCGAGAAACCGAGACCTCCCAGCCCGTCCCGAACCAAACTTAGTCCATCCGAAAGCATACGGGGCTGAGCTTCTACCACCCGAGGCTGAAAACGAGCGAGCTACGCCGAGAGCTTTTGCTTCAGCCATTCGAGCCTCGCGCGTCCAAACTGAGTCATCCTTCGGCTTTGTTCTTTGGCCTGAAGAGAGGTATTTAAGCCGAGCCTTTTACCCTCCCTTTGGCCGAGCCTAGTTGATATTTATTGCTTATGTTTCCGTTTTCAGAGAGGAGTTTAAGCTTGTCGAAAATGTTGAGAAGTTATAAAGAAATGCATGTTAATTGATGTTTGTATCTTGTTGAAATTGGCATAATGTATTCGGTCTGATGCTGAGCCTGTTGCAGTGCTTGGTATGTCGAATATGTATGCTTAATTTAGTGTTTGTTGAGCTTTAGATGCAGTTTAATGAAGGCGGTCAAAAGCATGCTTATCTCTATCAATATTATTACTTAGCTAGCTATGTAGAATCTTAAAAGCTGGAGTATATTTGGAGTTCTTTGCATGTTGGTATAGCATCATGCTTTTGGAATATCATCTATCATAGTCAGAGAATATGCATAGTGAGCTTGGACATTTTTTTTTAATGGTTACTTCCAAGTGGCTGGAACTTCTTCCCAGTGGGTTATTACATACTATTTATTCAGAAGCTTGCTCAGTTAGTTGTGCAATTTGGTATGGCAATTGTTTATGTTAGGCTGGCTTGTGTTGAATGGGAGGACTAAAGATGGTTATGTACCTCGCTGTTGCCAGATGCGTGAAATCTTAAGTGATATGAAATTAGTTCTTGGTGTCTGGGAAGGCCACTCCTAAAGTTTTAGGATCGGTACATGGTTTTTATAAATTAGAAGCCTCCGTAAGTTTGTCATGCAAAATACATCCAAACAGCAGGCAGCAGTGCCTTATTTTAAAATTATATATATATTTTGACCTTTGAGCTTACTTTATATCATGGTCGTGGTATCATGTAATGGTGTTGTTTCTGTAACTGCGACACTCAAAAGAAAAAAATTAAATGTTATTTTCCTAAATTAGGTTCCCGAGCCGAAGTTAGGAATTTCGAGAACTCTAGACGAGTCCAGTTAATTCGAGAAGTTTCAGTAGAAGTTTTATCTGTTTTATTTGCTTGCTCTCTGTGTTTTATGTGCCTTATGTGTTTTTAATTGTCCTTACTTGTCCTTCCCTGTTTTCACCTTTAGTAATAAAAAAAATCTTGTTCTTTCTTAAATAAATAACCGGGCGTTACAACTATATAGCAAAAAGTTCCGATGTCGAACTAAAAAAATCTAATTCAGAATTTACAATTGTGCCTCACATAAAAATAAACCAGTACATGGCTCTTCCAAGGGAAAGCACAACACACAAGATGGGCAACAGCTGCGGCGGCGCGTGGAAAGCAGAGAAGGCTATCGCCGGCAACTCAGAAGCTCTACAAGCTCTTCGGGAGCTCATCTCTTATCCTATACTCTACTCTCGCGAGTCCAAAATACTCGGCCTAAATGTAAAGTTTTATCTCACTCACACTCGCATCCAATCAATTTTATTATCATTTCATTAAGAAAAAGTTCAGTAATTTTTTTCCTGTTGTAATCTTTTAGTGGCCTCGTGGTTTGCTGCTATACGGTCCACCAGGGACAGGGAAGGTGTGCTTTTTTTTTTTCCTCGTCTTTCCCCTTTATCATTCGTAGCTATTAGTTTAAGCTTTTTCTATATTTTGTGAATTTTCTGTTTTTGTAGACAAGCTTGGTTCGTGCAGTTGTTCGTGAATGTGATGCGCATTTAAGTGTTATTAGGTAATGCTAATATGTTGCTTTGAGTGTGAATTATGATGACATCTTGTTATTGATATGTTGGGTTCATTATTATGTATATGTTGATGATTTGATATCGATATTTTATTCATGTTTTTCTTGAACACTTCTTGAGTTTTGATAAGCTGAGATATTAAGTTCTGGCACTTTACACGATTGTTGACAATAAAGCAAATTAGCTTAAGGATGTGCATTGTTTTCTCTTTTCTAGAGCCTCTTTTAGCATTCATATTGTATGAAGCAAATTCATTTGTATACTGCTTGTTGGATATTTCTTGCAGCCCTCATTCGGTTCACAAATCACATGCAGGAGAAAGCGAGAAAATCTTGAGGGAGGCTTTTGCTGAAGCAGCTTCTCATGCCAAATTGGGCAAACCTTCGGTTGTCTTTATCGACGAAATAGACGCGCTTTGCCCCCGCCGAGACTCAAGGTGCATCCAGTTATACGAAGTTTTTAATCTTTAGGCTTCCCTTTTATTCTGTGACGTGGAGACTTATTTGCCTTTTATCTTTGATTGTGAACTGTACTTCATGGTAATTCTAAGTTACCTTTGGTAGATAAATTTGATTCTGAACTTAATTGGTAGCATATAAAAAGGTGGAGTGAAAAAAATATTGGCCAATGTTGTTTGGTCTTGTTATCTTCTGTTATCTGTATCCTGCCCTCTTACTCTCTTAGCATCTCCAATCCGAGATCATAACATACGAATTTTGGATGGGCTATGCCTTCAATTTCAGGAGGGAACAAGATATCCGAATAACTTCTCAGCTATTCTTGCTGATGGACTCCAACAAATATTCGTCAACATCTGTATCAAATGTTGTGGTGGTTGCATCAACTAATAGGTAGTTCACCTAATTTGTCACCCTGGAGTCATGGAGATATTTGATCCTTTTTTATTTTTATTTTTTTTCTTTTTGAACTGTCATTAACTTTTGGATTTATCCTATAGAGTTGATGCAATTGATCCTGCACTAAGACGTTCGGGACGATTTGATGCCGAGGTTGAGGTCTCCTCTCCTAAAGAAGAGGAACGCTTGCAAATATTGACGGTACCTTATGCAACTATAATAAAGATGAAAGCTTTCACAAACCCTATCATTTTACCTGTAAACCAAACCTCGAGTTAGTTATTCCAATTTGTCAGCTCTATGCAAAGAAGCTTTATCTGGATCCAAATGTCGACCTAAAAGCTGTAGCTGCATCTTGCAATGGTTATGTCGGGGCAGACTTGGAAGCTCTATGTCGTGAGGCTGCCATGTCAGCACTGAAAAACTCATCAGATACGCATCCAGATGTTAAACAGTGTTTTATAACAATGGATGACTGGAAACAGGCTAGAACTGTGGTAGGTCCCAGTATAACTAGAGGTGTCACTATAGAAATTCCAAAGGTCTCTTGGGATGACATCGGAGGATTAAAAGATGTGAAGGTTTGAAGCATAGCCGTAAATTACGTATTTATCCCGAGGCATTGTTGAGCTCTAATCATGTTGAATCTTATTCATTTTGTTATGCATATGGAACAGAAAAAGCTTCAGCAAGCGGTTGAGTGGCCTATAAAACATTCTTCTGTGTTTTCAAGACTCGGAATATCACCCATGCGTGGCATTCTTCTTCATGGGCCCCCGGGTTGCTCGAAAACAACCCTCGCAAAGGCTGCTGCTTGTGGTGCCCAAGCTTCTTTTTTCTCATTGAGGTAATTATTTCATCAGGATTCTATTTAAAAGATGAGTCAATTTGCAATTTGTTGATGGTGGCAATAATGGGGTTTTTTTTTTGCTTATTCATCTTTCTTCTAAGTTGGTCCTGAAGGTCCAAACATGTTTGGAAATGGTAACGCGAATTAATTTGAAATAATTTTTGGACACTGTTACTAAATAGAAGTCTTTGTATCATTCAGTACATAGGGAGTGCAGAGAAACCAACATGGGCGTAGTTACTTATCTTTATCAAAGTGTACTAGTCCGAACTCAGCATAGTGTAATATTCTCGCATTATTTTACCTTCATTCGAGCGTATATAGAAAAGAAGCTTTTTCATTTTTTCATTGTTTTGATATTTGAACTGATTCTCATCCTGGAAGTGAACGACAGATTCTTTCTCCTTTCCATCCATAGTAATTGCTGCAAACCCATAATACATGACATACTGATTGTTATTTCATGATTATTTCTTAATTTTCAATTTAGTGTTACAGAAAAGTATGACTTCTTCTAAATTAGACTATTGAAGATGTAAAAGCCAGACAGGCGTACCTGTAATTATCATTTTACCTGACCCTTAAATGTTCTAGCTTATTATATTTCATTTTCCTGAGATGTTATATCCTGCATCAGTGGTGCAGAACTATACTCTATGTATGTTGGTGAAGGTGAAGCTTTGTTGCGTAATACATTTCGTAAAGCTCGTCTTGCAGCCCCTAGCATTATATTTTTCGATGAGGCTGATGTGATTGCTGCAAAAAGGTGATTTAATTTTTGTTTCAATAGTTTTCTTTGGAGAAAATGCAACCTTGATGCTCAGTCACATTAAAGGAACATTTCATTATTTACGGCAGAGGAGGAAACTCAAATGGAAGCTCTACAGTTGGGGAACGGCTTTTATCGACTTTGCTGACTGAAATGGATGGCTTAGAGCAGGCTAAAGTATACTTATTACGAATACATCTTCTTATTTGAAATGGAATAATTGCAATTACATGTTCTGGGGTTTACATTTTCGGAACGGCTTTTATCGATTTTTTATTAAAATGGAATAATTGCGATTACTTGTCCTGGGGTTTGTTGATTTATGGAACACAACAGAGTGGATTTAGAATCACAAAAGGAACCCCTGACTTTGGTATCTAATTTTTTATTAATGGGCTAACTGTAAATATCTCTACAATTGTAGGAGGGTTCTCGATGTGACGAAACAATATATTTTAGTTTTTTTTTGTACTTGTGTGACCCATCTGATTTTTGCAGGGAATTCTTGTTTTGGCCGCAACAAATCGCCCTTATGCAATAGATGCTGCATTGATGCGTCCCGGTCGATTTGATTTAGTAAGTCGATTATGGTATCCGCTCTAAAATATGTATTACTAAAATCTTCAAACTGTTTAAAAACTATGTATATTTTAAAAAACTCCCCATGAGGTTTATCTGGGCTAGCCAGGAAAAGAAAAATCATTTTTTAAAATAATGTCTCTACGTTCACAAGTAATGCCTGTAATTTCGAGAAATAACAGGAGATTTTGTAATTAGTCAGAAACTCATGTTTAATATGTTATGCACACTCGTTAAATTTTTGTACTTGCTGAACTACCAACTGTCTCTCAATTTTACCAAATCAAAACCTCTGTAGGCGGTAAAATTTGAAATTGTGAATGGGGAGATTTTTGCCTGATCATTCGAATCACCAGTTATTTTATGAAATTCCAATCCCCCCTTGATACTTCTTTGCTTTTACAAATTGCTCCTTCAGGAGGGCGTAATTTAATGTTGCTTCTGTTGTGTTCTTTCTGTGACTTCACAAAACATAATTTGTTTAAGCTGTGTCACCATTGCAAAGTAAAAGTGGATTAGCTGTTCTTTTCCTTCTTATGTTACCTTTAGTTTTCATCTTTCAAGGTGTAGTTGAAGGGAACTCTGAAAAATAACTCATTTTTTTTCATCGATTTTGTCAATCAAACTGTAATTTCTAAGGTTTAACTCATATTTAGTAAAATCTTCCCTGAATATAGGTTCTTTATGTCCCTCCACCTGATTGTGAGGCCAGACACGAAATTCTATGCGTGCACACGCGCAAAATGAAAATCGAAGATGACATCAATCTTGAAGAAATAGCACGAGATACTGAGCTCTTCACAGGTGCTGAGCTGGAGGGTCTCTGCAAGGAAGCTGGCATAGTCGCTCTACGAGAAGACATATCGGCCACAGTTGTAAGGGACCGGCATTTTCGGGTGGTGATGAGATCGTTAAAACCGGGACTAACCAAAAGAGAAATCGAGTCTTATGCCTCGTTTATGAAGAATACTTCTCTAAGGCCGAAAAATTCGAGTTTAACTGAGCTGGGCTCACATGGAGATACTTGGAGCGCCAAAAGCGTATTTCTTGTGGTGGCTTCAGTTGTAGCTGCTTTTAGTGTGGTTTTGTACTCTGGTCTGAAGGGTACTTCTGTTGATGCAGAGGGTACCACTGTTCATCTGGTGAGGACATAACCCGTTGATCGTTTGTGTCTGTAGAGATTTGATGATCGATTTTTTTTTTAGCGTGTGTTATCTTTCTGTTATATATTTATTTTGTAAGATGTTTACCTTGATGAGAATTTTTATTTTCGTTGTCTATTTTTTGCGCTTTCACGAGACTAGAAGGCTAAGAATAGTCCTATATAAACTTCTAAAATACTGCAACACCGTGTATTACAGCAGCGGCAATTGCAATTTTTAAAAGATAGGATTTTTGTCTTATATTTTTTAATACATTTTAAAATTGTATTTTTAATTTTTATATAAAATGACACTCATCATGATGTGCTCGTCATCTTATATTACGAATTTTTTTCTAACTCAATTTATGCAATAGAGTTGATAAACAATTTATTTTATTAATGTATTTATAAGTTAACTTATCAAAGTTCTTCATTACTACAAATTTAAAAGTATGAATATGTAAGAATATAAATCTATATTGGATGACTGTCGTACCAATATGAAAGATTCATAATAGATAGCGTGAATCAAGTTTCGTCACCAGAGTGTGGTACCAATATGAAAGATTCATAATAGATGGCGTGAATCAAGTTTCGTTACCAACTATTCGGCTACTTTACTTTACAAAATATTTTCTTTTTATTCTCTTATTTTAATATCACAAATGTGATAATTAGATTATTGTTTTATACATATCAAATTATTTAAATTATTATTATTATATATTTAACAAAATATGAATAGTACAACATTGTTTTATATAAAAATTATGTTATTTACTAAAACATGTATGAACTATATACTAAAATATTAACTAAGATCTAAGAGAAATTTCAATGTAATATAAGTCATTTTAAATAAATTCCTTCTATTAATTCTTGTCTGTCCAACAATTTATCACATATTTTATTCTATTATAAATAAATTTGTTAAATGAAGATTTCTATTATGTTGAAAAAAATTATGGTAAACTTCTATTCATATGTTCGTATTTTAATATTAAAAAAATATCCAACAATGTACCACATATTTTATTCTATTATAAATAAATTTGTTAAATGAAGATTTCTATTATGTTGAAAAAAATTAGGGTAAACTTCTATTCATATGTTTAGTATTTTAATATTAAAAAATATCAAAATAAAATTACAAATACATCAATAAGTAAAAAAGAAATTATAAAATAAAGGAAATAAATGCACAACTTAGAAGTTAGAACAACTCATCATTTCATACTTAGGTTGTGCTGCTTTTCTAGAAGTGGTTCTTCTTTAAGTCTCGCAATCTCCTCTCCTCAGCCATAGACCTCCTACATGCATACAAAATCAATAATTAAAGCTTAGTTTATAATCTTATTATTTATTTTTCAGCTGAAAATTTAAGTGACAATTATAGAGTAACAGCAAGAATGTCCTTTAAGTGACAGTATCATTGTCATTTATTTTTTATTTCAGTACATTAGACTCGTTTCTCGTCACAACTTAGTTTTATTCAATACGTGTGATCTAAACATATTCGCAATGTAGGCATATATATAAAGGGGTGAAAGGCTCCTAATTTTATTTACAAAAATGCATAAAGGTCTCATGTAGTAACTACAGTTATTTCACTTTTCAAAGTATATTAAAAAAGAAAAAGAAGAGTTTTTTTAAACACATATTAAGTCCTTAACCGAGCCTTTGTATGTCATAGCATACTAACTTTTTTAAGTGTAACAATTATCAGAGTATAAATACCAGAGTGAATGGATTGTTAATAACGCATACTATACAAAGTGGAACAAAGTTGTGACCTGTAAGCATCCATCTAGCCTATTGTAAATCATTTTTTTTTCCCTAAATGGATTGGTTCTTTGTTTAAAACTTATAATAGCTGAGGAAAAAAGGATAATGAGGAAAACCGAAGATAGTCCAACCTTTTCTATCTCTAAGCAAAATACATAAATATGAAAAAAATACCGAATCAAATGCCTTAATCATTAATTCTATGTTAATTAAAAAATTACTAAGATGGTATATTAAGAAAATCTTCTATTCTTGTTTTTTTAATACCACGTCATGCTATGCAGATGGAAAGGTTTTTATAATACCACGTCATGCTCAAGTTTTTTTTTACTTCAAGCTAACCAATGATCCTGGACTTCTTTCTCCGTGTTACCACTCAAATCAATTCCATTATTGTGCCTTCACTGCAAATCCACGAGATTAAAACTAATGATCAGCCATTTTCCCACATACAAAAATTTCGTGGAACAAAATGAAACTTTTTTCCCATCAAGCCAATATTGTTACCCTTTTTTTCTGCCTATCATGATCCATATTTTCCAAGACCAAAAAGTTCACAATAAACAACCAAAAATAACGATCTCCATGGAAATCGCAGAGGCATGCGAGTGGAGCGAGAAAAAAAAAAAAGAAAGTAATCAGAGGAACCTGCCCGATTCAAGAAAGGCTTTAACTCTCACAGCAAGACGACGTCGTGTGGGAACCATACAAATTTTAGATTTTTTTCCGGGATATATCATCTATTGTTTTATATATGGAATTTGTTACATAGTAGCATTTTATACTTTTTTGACCAAACCATTTGTGAACATTACGCTACAAGGTCACTACATCGAAAGCTCGCCATGTTTGATTGTTATTTCTAATCATATTTTTTGTGTTATGTAGACGTACTTATTTGGGCTGCAAGCGAGTCGAATTGAATCGAACATTAACTTATCGAATGCAGATCAAATTGTTTTCTTTAGTTTTCGAGTTCGAATTCGACGAACCGTGTAAAATAGTGCTCGGCTCAACTCGTGAAAAAACAAAAATAACGCTCGAACATAAAATTTTAGTAACTAAACTTTAATTATATATAAGGCCATAAGGGTACTATTTTTAATCAAATTAGACTCTTGATGGATTTTGATGATTAAACTATATGGGGTTTTTAACTATTTACACAAATAAAAAATCGAACGACTCGTTGATCTTACGTGCCTCTTGAAATGATGTTCGACACTCTACTTGTTTGCTCTATTGAATTGCTCGAGTCGAGCATTGTCTCGAGCGCTCACACGACTCGTTTCTTGCTATAATATTGATAATACACTAGTGGTCTGCACAAATAGGCTATTTAAGTATATTTTATCCCTTTTATATATAATTCTCGAATATATATAGTGAGTTTAAGGGGTGTATTCAATTCGGAATTTAAGTGACATTTTAAGACTTTTCGAGATTTGAGACTTTCTAGGATTTTCAGATTTTGGAAGAATTCTATGAAATCTCAAGTCCGGAGGTAAAATTTGAAGTGGGATTTCATATAAGGTTTTTTGTTTAGAAATCCTACTAAATCTTAAAAAGTCTTAATAAATCCTAGTGTCAAAAAAATTAAATATCTCAGGATTTTGTAAGACTTTTGAAAATCCCAATTGAATACCCCAAGATTTTTAAAAGTTTTAAAAAGTCTTACCAAATCTAAATTGAATACACCAAGATTTCTAAAGTCTTAAAAAATTCTTAAAAATACTAGTTAAATACACCCCCTAAGATTTCAGTATCGACATGGGAGGCTTCAAATCCAATGTCTCTATATATCGTGATTCAAAACTCGCTTTGTATAAAAATTTATTTTCATCCATAAGAAAAATAGTTTAGAATTAAAGTCAACTTACCTTAAGTATTATTGACCTTGATTAATGCTAGCCAATAAGTTCCGCTTTTTTTCTAAAACTATTTGATTATTAATTAAAAATAATTTTAATTATAGCAAATTTATTTTGTTTGGAAATAATATCAACTTACCTTATATGCCATTGACCTTGATTAAGGAAAGCCAATAATTNACAAAAAAAAAAAGACACAGTAATTCCTCTGAGATATTGCAGAAAAATTATATGAAAATCTTCATTCTTTTGACATCTTTTGCCCAACATTTTCCCAAAAATAAGGTAACATAATAGGCAGAATTAACAATACGTACATAGACCGGACTAAAATATTGTTTTATCAAATTGGTGTTACTATTTACCGTTCCCTTATTACTACTTTCCGCCCCTTCCCTCTTTTGGACATTTTTTTTTCTTGATATTTTTTCTAAAAAGAAAAACAAAAAAAACAAAAAAAACTTCCGCCAGCTGGCCAGCGAGTGCACGACCGATTTTGCCGGTATGCTCACATTTTTTTAATAATTAAATTTTTATTTATTATAAAAATTATGTTATAATTTAGATATTATTATGTGATCAATTAGAATTTATTATCTTATAGTTATAATTTAAAAATTATTATATCATAAATTATAATTGATTATCTTATTAAATTTTATTATTATTATGTTAGCACTTAAAAATTATTATATTATATAACATTATTTTAATTATCTGTAACAAAATACTAATTATCTGTAAAAAAAATAATATAACATTTATAATTATTGTCTACTAATAAAAATATACATGAAAAACATAACAATTTATAGTTATATTTTAAAATAATACTTTTTCCAAAAATAAAAATTTATTTCTAATACTAATTAAATTTCAAATAATGTTAAAAATAATTTTACAAGATAATTGTTGACATCTGGGTTTGCCCCAAAGAGGAGTCGGACAATAGGTATCTCCCGGAAGCCGAACCGACTCCCAGAGCCGAACCGAAGACCCGGTCGAGCGCAAGCGCCGAGCTGAATTCTGAATTTAAGTAGTCCAGACATCCCCGCGGGCCCGTCCACGAGACCGGCATTTGTCCTGTTCGGATACCAGTGCCGACCTGAGGCAGGTGACGGGCTGAAGTAAGGTCCCGGAGGGCCAGGAGGCCGAAACGGGATCGGGTGCTGACCTGAGTTTCCGGGGCGGTTGCCCCAGAGACAGATGTCGATCCCGATAATAATATAATAATGCCACTTAGAGAGCAATCATTGATGATTAGACGGGGCGCCGTAGCCTGCAGGTCTATATCTACTAGCCAAGACATAAAGTCTGCCAGCATTAAATGACCCCCATGTGTGCATTAAAATGCCTGCCAGGCAATGATGAGGAAAACCTCAAATCGCAGGGAGGCGCCGGACTGCTCTGCAAGAACACTGTGCGATAAGACCCATGAACAGTGTCCGAACAGTGCCACATTTAAGGGCACTATAAATAGCATCCCACTTCATTTATTTCTGGGTTGTTGAATCTCCAACTGTCTTCATTCTCCACATTTTCTCTCTCTAAACTTGTGAAAAATCTCTGTAAGGATATCGCAAGTGCCGACCTCGTACGAGGGGCCGACCTCGTGATCAGTTAATAAAATCATAATTAAATCGTATATCTTAATCTTTTCCTCATTACCTTTTCATTATTTATTTTTTTAATCGTTGACCGGAAACGCCCGTCAACAATAATCAATTTTAATTTATAACATAATGATTTTTAAGTTCTAACATAATAATAATAAATTCTATAACATAATAATTTCTAGATTCCAACATAATAATAATATATTCTAATTTATAACATAATAATTTCTAAATTATAACATAATTTATATAATAAATAAAAATTTGATTCGTAAAAAATTAAAATAAAAAATAGCGCGGCCGGCCGGCAAGGACAAAATAGTTCAAGGAGGGACGATAGGTAGTAAAAAAGGGCTGTACTTAGCAATTCACTATCAAATTCGTATGGTCCTTTCATGACATTCATGTCTCTATTAAGCCGCTATTAGGTAACAAAAAATAATCTCTTTAATAGATGAAAAAGCACAATATGATACCAAATATATTTTTATAGTTAACTAAGAATCCGCTTTAATGTAATTTTTAGACTAATCCCTCATTACTATATCATCAATTTATACATTGGTCCCCATCCACATCCACATAAACTTTAATTTAAATTGTTGCACCTTAAAACTACTACTCCTATTGATTCACGTTCCTTTTCCTTGTTCTTTAAGAGCATGTTTGTTAATGGAGACGGGATTAGATACTTTTTATCTAGGGATTCAAGATTGGGGTGTAGAGATTAGTGTGAACTAATGTTTGTTATGTTTGATTTACTCAAGATAAGATTATCACCACAATTTATTTTATGTGTTTGTTTTCCTAGATAGTGAATAGGATAAGATGGACATTTACAAATTTGCCCCTATGTTAAACTACATTATTTTTTTCCTATCTTCCTTGTTGGCCTCATGTATCAGATCTCAATTTTTTTATTTTTTATTTTTATTTTTTTTGCATGGCACATTCTTACAGCTAACAGTTCGTCCTTATTTTTTTCTTTTTTTTTTTCAATGTTTTAATTTTAAATGTAAAATGATGATGTATTCAACTGCTAAAAAAATAATGATAGAATTGCAAATTTTGAAAATTATGGAATTAATATGCTGGGATTATAAAGTTCATAAGCTGCCAGCAACACAAAAGACAATAAAAATAGGAAGATCTCATCATTCTCAAAAAATGGAAACAATCAAAATATTTCAGAGTAGAATTGCATGCTAAATTGATACACATATTCAATGGACTTTTTTTTGGCGAAATCTCAACTAATAAAATCTTATGGAATGTATTCAAACGAGAGAAAGTTTGCCGGCAGGAATCAACGACAATGCCATGGGAAAATTTGCACACCAATCATCGACAATACTCAGCATTAGGTGATAAGTACACATTCATCATTACATAAACAAAAATGATACTCATTTATAAATCATTGCAACCGTAATATTGTTGTCAACTAACATCTTAAACATGTGTTCTTCATTTCACACTGCCTTTAAGAATGTCTAGCCTCGACTAACCTGGAAGTTTCACATTTCATAATAGAAATGCCACACCAAAATGATGATTTGTTTTTTCTTCACATAAGTGCTACATGCACCTGGTAGTACTTGGAAAAGAAAAATCTCAAATCACTCAATACATTAACCCAAAAAAATGCATTGAATACCATTCCTAAATCATTAACCACAACAATATTCAGAATCAACTAACCTACCCCTGACTAACTAAAAAACCAAGAATAGCATTCACAAAAAATGCACTCAATAACAACATTCAATATTGGCTGCTTCTGTAGAGTGCTAATGGCCGCCTGAGAATCAAAGAGAACAAGTCCAGTTAACAAGAAGTGTGTGAGGAATAAACAGAGGGATAAAGGTGTTTCGGAATACTTTAACAAATCCAGACATTAGTCTCAGCTTCACTCCATGCTTTTCAACAAACGAGTCCTTGTAATCAGAGGGGAGTTTCATTAAATTAGTCCTGCAATAAGAAATTGTAGCCGTTAAAAATTTTGATACACAGAGAATTATAAGATGAAAATACTTTGTTTTTTAAATGGTCATCAACATTCAAATGCCTTCACAAAAACAAAGCCCTAAGGAAACCGGAAAAGAGAGGCGGGCAGACTTTGGGCATCTAATTGTGCTGCAAAATTAGAGCAAATAACTCTTCCACAAATAGAAGCTCACTAATCAAACACTCGGAAAGCAATGCAATAATCTAATAAATAACATCCAACTCCTGGTGGACCCAATATATCAGGCAAGGAAAGAAGCATCTTTATTGAACCATTGGCAGCAGCACCCCAACGACAGTCCAGAAAAATATTTTTCTATTTAATTTTCAGTCGATATAATTACTCAATTACCTGAAGCCTATTGCACAAATACATCACCCTTTAAAGCAAGACAAAACAACGATTCAGAAATAAACTTACATTTCAACTTCATTAAATGTTGTCAATGCAAAGGTGTTCTAAGAATCCTTTAAACGTGTGGAAACTCTTTTCCTAAGCCTTGTCATAGGAACCAGACAATATAGAAGCACGTTCTGATGTTACAAATATCACTGGTAATAATAACTAAAGAGTCAGAATTTAAACTAATACTCACTCGTCTTTCCCTATCTTTAGGGGGTAACTGGGGTTCTGTGGCTGGCGTTTTCAGGGGAGGAGAGGGAGGGGTTCCTTTTGGCTTGTCTACAACAGGAGTTGTTTCGACTTTAGGAATAGGTTTCTCCTTTATTTCTTAAGAGGGAGAAGTTGATGGTTGAGAAGCATTTGAGGATGGTTTTTCATCAGAAGGTGCAACAGGGTGTTACACCTTCACAATATTTAGAATCAACTAACCAATCCCTGACTAACTAAAAAAAACAAGAACACAACTTTATAAATTCAATTAATTCGAAAATACCAAAAAAATTCCCAATTACCAAACACCAATTAAAGCCATGACGATAGTAACAAAACAGCCCATCTCGAAATTTCATCTACCTTATTTCCGGCATTAATCGTTGAAGAACACGCGATAGTCTACGGTTCGGGCTGGCCCTTTTCCTGAAACTGAATTTGGGAATTGTAAATCGCTCTGCAACTTAACAACGTCTCTTTTGCGTCAACGACCTATGGTTGCTTTTGAGGCTGAAGCTGAGAATCTGAGGCTTTTTCCCTCAACGGAGATCTCGCGAGCAGGGTGCCGATGATGGCGTTGATGGTGACGCTATTACTCTCGTGGCCTTGTCGATGAGGGAGAAAGCTCTATGGACTGCATTTGTGAAGGTGTAAGGTAAATGGTAGAAGAAGTAATTTTTGCATTAAGGGAGGTTAATTGGTCAATAATTTTTACTTTAAGGGACAAATTTGTAATTTGAAAACTTTTGTACTGTGCGGACAGAAGATATCTTACCCTCAAGGCGAGATCAAATTATCCCGGTTTCCCACGATATTTCTACTGTGCATCGCGGGCCTTATTTAGTCATCCGGGCCGGAATCATGGGAAACAAACGAAGGATTATGGGTTGATTAGAGGCATAGTCTTGTCCTGACATGGCTAACAAACGCGCTCTAAGAAGATTTCTCTCGGATAGTTGCTACTTGCTACTTGCTACTATCTCCATGTACTATTTCCAAGACTTTCCTTAACCAGTTTTCACACTTATGTACTGTTATTATATAATTAGTATTATTATTATATTTCTAATTAAATTTGAATAATTAATAATGTGTTTTAATTTGCAAGGTTGTGAAATATGAATGTAGTATACGAGAGAAAATCAATTTATTTTTTGGTTATGAGAATGAATTTAAAAAGAGAAAATGAAATTACTTTTGGGGTTGACAATGAATATAATATTTTTAAAAAAAAATTACTGTGTAATGTAAATGCAGCAATTACTCTAATATCATGGAAAAAACCATTACATATAATTATGTACAATTTAATATTTAACGGCTCAATTAATTATGAGTCAGAAAATCTTGTCAAGAGAATGATTGTAGATTTCCAAATCCTTTCCTATTTCTAAAAGGTCTATACTTCTTCACTTCTATAATTAAAACCCCAAGAAGCAAAAACCTCTTCATTCAATACGCAGAAACCTCTTCATTCAATATCTCTCTTCAATATAGAATTCGTTTGATTTTTCTTTTTTCTTTTTTTTTTTTCTTTCCAAGTTTTCCGGCCAACAATGGCTGAAACCGACGACGGCGAACTCGCGGCCAAGAAGAGGCGGTGGAATTGCCTCAACCAACTCACGGCACTTCTGTCCGAAGGCACCGTCCGCCTCGAAGATTTGGTGTCCGAACTAGAAAAGGATCAACCATTGAAGCCTCTCTCTTTCTCAAGAAAGGCCAAGCGGTCTCCACGAACCGGGTCAAAACCGACCCACGAAGAAAAACCCGAATCCAGCTCTGCCCGGGTCAAGATAACTTTCAAGAACCTTCCTCCCGCGGCCGGATCCCTCCCAATCAAGAGAAAAAAGGTTTCCGATAATGCCCTCCCGAAACCCAAGAAGAAGCAGCCGAGGTTTGATATCCGGAAGCACATCATGACCGAGTTGCCCGGGTTACCCGACCCGGTCCAGCCCGAGTTACGCGGGTTACCCGACCCGGGCCCGCCCAGTGAGTTTGTGGAGTACATTATGAGGAACAATGGTAGACCCGAGAGCTTGGTGTTGCTGATAGAAAAGAAACTGTTCAATACGGACGTGAGCCCGAGCCACGCGAGGCTGTCGGTGCCGTTTTGCCAGGTGAAGAGGCCGTTTTTGTTGAAGGAGGAAGTTGAGAAGCTCAAGGCAGATAGGGTAATGAAGGTGAAGCTATTGCAGCCCAACGTCGAAAAGTGTAGTTTGAGTTTGGCGTTGTGGGAATCCAACTCGACGTATGTGTTGAACGGCGGGTGGACTGAGGTTATGGATACAAATAAGCTGGTCATCGGGACAAGTGTTCGCCTCTGGTCTTACCGTAAGACCAATTCTAAACTGCGTTTCGTATTGGCAAAGGTTGAGTGAAGGGTTTTATTTTGTTTTGGGGTTTGATGGATGGATATGTTTTGGTGGATTTTGTTTTTGAGTTTTCTGTTTTTTATTTAACTATATATGTTGGGTTGTAGAGATTAATTTGATGGTATATATATATATATGTGTGTGTGAAGAGTTCATGTTATAGTTTCATCTTGTTACATACTCCCTCTGTTTCGTTTTAAATGTCGTTGTAGGGTGTCAACCTTTTTGCAAATTAATTGTCGTTGGAAATATTATATTCATTCTTACATCTTTATTTTCTTTAACAAACATTATCTCTTATCATTATCTTTAAAAACTACCCATTAATAATTTAAAAACTAAATTTAAATAAGATTAAAAAATAAGATTATCACACAATCCATTAAAATCGTAATTTAGAAGTTTTAAATTAAAACGACATTTAATAAGAAACGGAGGGAGTATATAATTTGCACTTTTGGGCAATCATACGAAAGATTGCATTTTTGTTGGTGGAAACAAAAATCGTATACTAATTAATTCACAATCATGGTTGGTTCTAATTTTATTTTGTAGTTATTTCGCGGGATTTCCGCCGAGACAAATTGTTCATCTTACGATATGAAATAAAATTTTATTTTGTGGTTATTTCACGGGATTTCTGCCGAGAGAAACTGTTCATCTTACAAGGGTAAGAAATGGCTTTGATCTTATTTTGCATTATCAATGGCAGCACCTACATCGAGATGCGATACACTAAGTAACAAGGCGTTGCTAAATTGACTGGAAACTTTTTTTTTTTTCTCTCAAGTCAAACAAGAAAATTTATAAACTCAAACACATTGTCTTACAAAGCGAGGCCTAAATAGGCTAGTTGGTCCTAAGTATGTTTGGGATCTAACTACAAGTATGTTTGGGATCTAAGTACTCTCTTAGGCCTATTTAGGCCTCGCTTTGTAAGACAATGTGTTTGAGTTTATAAATTGACTAATAATTAATATGCTAAAAGATGTGTGATGCAGATAATAAAGGACTAATTTCAGTATATAATAGTTACAATACGTTAGCTAAAATACTAGAAATTATTGGTGATTCTCTCAGGTGGGAGTGAGATTCCGTCGAGTGAGGGCAGATTCCGTCGTCTGAGGGCTCATTCCTTCTAGTGAAGTTCAGTCCTCGACAAGTTCACTTCATTCAACCGTTTAGCTTCAATTTGCAATCTTGCAGTCTTTTCCTTTTCTCTGATAAGCATTTTCAGTTCTAACCTAATTGTCTAATGGGAACTCCAGAGGCAGTCTCCGACACAGAAGAGGACATGACCCAAAGGCTAAAGAACTTTTCCCTCTCAGGGGAGGAGAGCTTGGTCATTGACCTGGGTCGCAATGATATAAAGGGTAGTGCGGAGGAATGCACCAGAAGCTTGATGGGAAAAATTATAGGCAACATGCGAGCTTCTCTCATCGGACTTAAAAGAACTCTTATGAACATATGGAGAATCCAGCAAGGTATGGAAGTGCGTGAAATCTCATCGAATTTCTTCCAATTTATATTCGACAACAAGGATGATATGCAAAAAGTTTTGCTGGGTACCAACTGGATTTATGAAAACCAGTATTTAGTGCTGCATAAATGGAGAAGAGGAATCAGTGAGAAAGACAGCTGTTTTCAAGAAATCAAACTCTGGACTCAGGTCCACAATGTGCCAATGGATTGGCTTAGCAGAGATGTAGGATTGAAGATTGGTCAAATTTTCAAAGCCACCCAAAATATAGGGATCACCACGGCAGCAGGAGGAGGCAGAATCATAAGACTTCTAGTCTCAGTGGATATTAATAAGGCTCTTCCAAGATGCACATCTCTTAGGCTAGGAGATGAACTCATCACCGTGACCTTCAAGTATGAGAGACTTATCAACCTGTGCTATTACTGCGGCATGATTGGCCATCTAGATAGAGACTGTCAGAAAATGGCAAAGGACATTGCAGAAGGACAAATCAAAGAAGGACAATATGGTACATGGCTAAGGGCACCAGAAGTCAGAAACAGTTATGCCTCTGGGCAAGGCAGCAGATCCACTGACCAAGAACCAGAAACACCAACTGCCTCCCACCAAACACCTGATCCACCTACCACCTCTGATAAACCAATCTGTCCACTTAACCTTGACACCTTAGCAGTCCCTCTGCAACCGAGTAATTACCTTAGCATAGTGGAATCCAGCTCCTCTAGACAAGAATTTGTCCATAACCAGAGCTCTCCTGGGGAAGCAATCCAGCAACAAAGTCCACACACTGTGGTCACCCCTATTCAAGCAGCTATGGATTGCACTAACACTGAGATAATGCAGACAGATCCACAACATTCTCACAAAGAGTTGGCTCTAGCTGTGAAGGACAGTAATTTAGTACCTCAGGAGAATTCAGTCTCCAAACTAAAAACCTGGAAAAGAGCAGGCAACAAGGAAGGAAGGCTGCAAAGAAAACAACTGACAGGAAAGGAACTGTCCCAGCTGCAAGGACTAAAGAGAGGCAGACAAGGTGGCACTCCTCTTAACACTGTGGAAGAGGAAAATAAGGAGGAAGAATCTGACCCCAAGAAGCTGAAACAGGTGGAGAAGGCCAGCCTCAAATGGCCCCAAAGTGACCAATGAGAGCTCAGGTGTGGAACTGCAGAGGCCTGGGTGGGGCCTCCACAGTTTCCCAGCTCAAGGAGTCCTTAAGGACCCACCACCCTCATTTTACTTTCTTATCTGAAACTAAGAATA